AACAGGAGGAGATGACTGTCCCTGTGCTGGAGCTCTAGCACCTTGGCATGCCTACTGTCCACAGACTCCATGTGGAAGAGTGCTCAGAGTCCTCTCATGCTGCTTTTGCAGCCTTTCACAACAAGGACCAATTCCAGCAGGTCTGATGAGGAACGTGAGTGAAAGTCTTGATTGTTAAAAGGCTTTTTCCATTTTAGCGATTAAGCTGTAAGTTGTGTCCTGGTTTTGGCTGGGATAGAGTTAATTTTCTTCCTAGTAGCTGGCATAGCGCTGTGGTTTGGATTTAGTAGGAGAAGACTGTTGATAACACACTGATGTTTTTAGTTTTTGCTAAGTACTGCTTATGCTAGTCAAGGACTTTGCAGTTTCCCATGCTCTGCCAGGTGCACAAGAAACTGGGAGGGGGCACAGCCAGGACAGCTGACCCAAACTGGCCAAAGGGCTATTCCATACCATATGACATCATGCTCAGTATATAAACTGGGGGGGGCTGGCCGGGGAGAGCGATTGCTGCTCGGGAACTGTCTGGGTATCAGTCGGTAGGTGGTGAGCAATTGCATTGTACATCACTTGCTTTGTATATTATTATTATTATAATTATCATTACTGTTTCACTTTATTTCACTTATTAAACTGTTCTTATGTCAACCCAGGAGTGTTGAGATTCTTCCAATTCTCTCCCCCATCCCACCAGGGCAGGGGGAATGAGCAAGCGGCTGGGGTTAAACCACAACAGTTGTTAAAAAATCTGAAATTTATCCAGGCTTCCTTGCTTTGGAGGACGTGGGAGAAAATTGTAGTTTCAGCTATCTGTGAGGATCTGAAGAAATCTGTTTTCTGGGACCAAATTGTTAACCCAGTAGAACATGAAGTTCACAGACTGGACCACAACAGAACAGCCAAACGATATGGAGTAACTGAGTATTTTTTTGCTGGACAAGGCTCGGTCCTTTGCCAAAAAGCTACCAAATAAAAGGCGAGCAAGCAGTTCCTGAAATGCTGTCAGTTTTGCAGCTCTGAATGCTTGTTCTCTATTTGAATTTCCAGCCGTGGTAGAATTCTACCACTGTGGACTGGTGCCTTGAGGTGTAAAAGGGAAGGCCTTGAGAAAAACCCAAAAAATAGCATAGGCATGTATTGGGCTTGCGTGGCAAGGTTTTGGTAGCAGGGGGCTACAGGGGTGGCTTCTGTGAGAAGCTGCCAGAAGCTTCCCCTGTGTCCAACAGAGCCAATGCCAGCCATCTCCAAGACAGATCTGCCACTGGCCAAGGCCAAAACCACCAGTGACAGTGGAAGCACCTTGGGGATAGCATATTTAGGCAGGTGGGGGAACCACACCAAATCAACGGGGAACAAACTGCAGCTGGAGAGAGGAGTGAGAATACACGAGAGGAAGGACTCTGCAGACACCAAGGTCAGTGAAGAAGGATGGGCAGGAGGTGCCCCAGGCACCGGAGCAGAGATTCCCGTGCAGCCCCTGGTGAGGCAGCTGTGCCCCTGCACCCATGGAGGCCCACGGGGGAGCAGATAACCACCTGCAGCCCGGGGAGGGCCCCACACCGGAGCAGGTGGATGTGCCCGAAGGAGGCTGTGACCCTGTGGGGAACCCATACTGGAGCAGTCTGCTCCTGAAGGACTGCACTCCATGGAAAGGACCCATGCTGGAGAATTTCCTGGAGGACTGTCTCCTGTGGGAGGGACCCCACGCTGGAGCAGGGGAAGAGTGTGAGGAGTCCTCCCCTGAGGAGGAAGGAGCAGCAGAGACAATGTGTGAGGAACTGACCGCAACCCCCATTCCCCATCCCACTGTGCTGCTCAGGGGGAGAAGGTAGAGAAAAGCGGGAGTGAAGATGAGCCTGGGAAAGAGGGAGGGGTGGTGGTGGGGAAGGTGTTTTAAAATATGTATTTTATTTTCTCATTATCCTGCTCTGATTTGACTGGTAATAAATTAAGCTAATTTCCCCAAGTTGAGTCTGTTTTGCCTGTGACAGTAATTGGTGAATGATCTCTCCCTGCCCTTATCTCAACCCAGGAGCCTTTCCTTATACTCTCTCTCCCCTGTCCAGCTGAGGAGGGGAGTGATAGAGCAGCTTTGGTGGGCACCTGGCATCCAGCCCAGGTCAACCCACCACAAGGCAGAAGTTATACCCAGTGGTTTTTGCACTACATGGCACTGTGGTCCAAAATGGGTCACTGTATGTTTGAGATCCTCTGTTAAGGGGGCAGCTGGCAGTGTCATGCAGGGCCTTGTTTTCTTTTGTGTTTCAAGCCTTGAGGGGGGCTACAGGAGCCGATAGACCTGTCAGTGTTCAGCAAACAATAACTGCTTTTGTGCATGTTCTTAAATCAAGCCCAGTCATTCAAACCTGCACTTTTTACTTCTAGCAAGTGAAAAACTGCATGTTAACTGATAAGAAGTACTGGTAGATTTGTACAGAGAGCTGGTTTGGGTTTGTTGGGTTGGTTTTTTTTTTTTTTGTTAGGGTATTTAGAGTTCTTTGTCTCTGTCTTGGATTGGGAAAGTATCAAAGTAAGTTCATTAAGTCCTTCTTGGCTTGCCGTAAGATGCATCACCAAACAGTTTAGATGAAGAAGTTTGAAGCAGGGGGGTGTTTGTTTTTGTTTTTAAGACTTCAAGATCACCTAAGTAACAGCATGTTTCAGCTCTTTGATTAGAGCCGAAGCATCTTCAAAATGGCCAAAGAAAGAGGTTAAATGAAAGCAAAGCACTCAATTACGTGCTTTCCAATGTGAATTTTCAGAATATAACCTTGCAACTGATAATGAACTACATTTGGCACTTTTGTTAGCAAAGGAGTTTAACAGCTTAACCAACTCTGTTTAAAAATAAAAAAAAACCAACAAACTTTCTGATCTTACATGCACAATCCATCATGGCTAAGATACGGTCTCTTTTCATATCAAACTCATAGTCTCTACATTAATTTTATAGAAATAGTATTTTGGAAATAATTTTTTATTGTAGTGAAAATAAGATACCATTATGTCCATACATATACACACACACACACACACACACACACAAAGAAAAGATTCACTGTATATACACTGGAATAGCTCATACTCAGTGTAACCAAGACTCTCCTCAGCTTGTGCACAGCAAATACTAGAATACGGTTAAAATGGGCCTGCTCCCAGCCACCATCCAGTGCTGCGCTTAGCAGGAGCCGCACTGAGGCCATCTCCCAGGGCTGGCAGCCCAGAAACAAGTCCCAGGTTGATGCCTACACTGAGCCCGGTACTTCTTTACGTCGTACAGTTGCCGTGACCAGAGGCCCTGGTGTTAAGGAATGGCTCAGCCGTGCTGCTGCAGGGGCAGGAGGGAGGGGGCTGTGCCTCAGAAACTCCGGACCAGCTGCTCCGAGAGCCCTGGGGTCACCCAGCAGAATGGGGCCTCTGTCTCATAACATCCGGTCACAACGATGTTCGGCAGCACCATATTACTTCCTGCTCTCTTGCGTTATTTGGGCTTACAGTGGTTTATGCAAGCACTCCTCTGACAGATGCGTGGCTCTGACACCCATTCCCTGCCACTCAAGGCAAAAAGATACTACGCAAGTGATGCAGTGAGGTTCTCTGGAATACACAGAAGAACTGCACTGAAAGTTTAGTGGTGGACTTGGTAGTGTTAGGATGCTGGTTGGACTTGATGAGCTTAAAGGTCTTTTCCAACCTAAATGATTCTATGAAATACTCACTTGTTTAGCTAAGCTGCCTATAGGCAAGTAAGTAATTCGCACTATCGCCTAACCCTAAAAAGTATCAGGTGGCTGTTGGCACATGTGGGCCAAGAACTATAGACGTTGTAGAAATAACAAATAACTTGGCCTTGTTTGCTAGCAGAAGCTAATGTGAGACCAGTAGTGCCCTGACCCTGACAGCCATGTTAATGACTTAAACAAGAGACACCGGGTGACTGAACAGAGCCCCAACAGACCTTAACATGGAGTCAGAACTCGCTTCGTAACTTGAAGATAAAACTCCGCTTCTGTACCTTGGAGGTCCCCATCTCAATTCAGCTATTTTAAAATGCTTCAGGCTGACGTGTTCTGTTTAAGGAATCCTACGCTGACTTCCACTAGGCCAAGAATAATCTCATTTTTCCCCTTCCCCATAGGAAAGTGCTGCCATCTACCAAATACGCATGCACTGAAGTACCACAGCCTGGTTTTGAAACAGAGCTTGTGGCAGGCTATCGTCCAGTTCAGTAAAGAAAATTCAAACATTACTTGGCTGATTTCAACATTGAGTAAACACTAAATATGCTTTTAAAAAGGATCGGCACAAATGCCACTGTAGCATTTCATCATTAAGCTATTCGTCTTTCTACTTCAAGAATTAAATCTGTTATGAACGTAAACTGGTAGGGAGATACACAACAAATAAATAACGTGTATTAACTTATAAAATATCAAACAGCTTCTCTACATACAAAAATGTCAACGTTAGTCACTTAAGCTTCCCAGAACATTTGTATGACAGGAGCCCTTCTGTGCCCCAGCTTGCGTGTCTGCCAGGAACAGCTGGAGAGCGAACCACCTTGGCTTTGAAACCAGGGTACTGTTCTGCAGCAGCACTGCCCTGCCTTGCTGAGGCGCCCCGTGGGTCGCTGGCAGGCAGCGGTGATGCCTCTGGCTGGGGAGAGCCTTGAAGAGGCCTGCAGGCTCAGTACTATGCTCCGGTTTGCTAACGCCAGGTGACAAAATGTACGTCAGGCATCTGTACAAAAGAACGATTTTCCAGTGAGGTTATGTTTGTGTTTATAATGGGAATGCCTTAAAATAACGCTAACGTAATTCTAGCACAATAGTTCTCCCCTACAAATTATTCTCGTGCAAACCAAATACCTCTTTCCACTAGTGCTTTATACCTGTGAAATCGCTAGAGTAGCCTCCAGTGAGGGGATAAATGCCGGACAGGGATTTTAAATGTGCATTTTATTTTGGTTGTGCATGTATCTTCTCTTCCCCGAGGAGATCTTTTGCCTTGGTATGCAAACTTTCACTGTCCGTTTCAGAGTTAAAGAAAAATGAACTTTCATAACCTCTGCCACTTCTGATCACCTCTTAAAAATGTCACTTTACACAGAAAAGCCAGAAGTAATTGAGATAAACAGACATCTGTATGTTTTAGCCATTCATTTAGAAAACATCTGTATCCATCCATGCAATGTTAAGACTATAAGTAACTTTGCAGTTACAGCTGAGCCCATTGCTATGGCAACAAGGTAGTCTTTATCTCCCACATGCATTCTACTGATTTCTTTTTTTCTTAAAGCAGCTTCCTGAAATGAAAAACAGAGAAGCAATGATTAAGTTAGTCTCTTTCAAACGCTGGATTCAAGGCAGCCCTTACTACTTTCCAGCTGTGGAAAATTTAGACGCTGATCCTTTTCAAGATGAAAAAAATGAACAACTGACATGGAAAAATGTGAACTGCTGTTACTTTCAATTAAAAAAAAAAAAAGTACAGTTGATGATCTTGGAACACAAGATTTTTGCTACTGTAGCTATTTTTAATAGGATCCCAAGGAATTGTACTATAGTATCTTTCAAACTAACCCAGCTAGCTGTAATTCGCTGCTTGCTACAGTGAGAGTGCAGTTCATAAGAGCGTGTATGCTAATAATTCATTCCTTGACGCCCTTTTTCATGGTTAGCTTTCAACAAAGCACACAGCTCAGCTTGGTTAATTGTTTGGCATGGTAAGCTTTCCATTGTGGTAGGTGCCCACCATACCAGACAGGATTGTACTGGTGATCTGTTGGGTTTTGGTTAGTTGCCAAGTCTTGAGAACTCAAGATAAACTAACATGCTTTTAAAATTTCTAGTTTAAATAGAACACTTGGCAATAGTGACTACACTAGAAGGGTTAAGAAGGTTCTGTCTGTGCCTGCAAGGACCTAAAATCGATGTCAGTGCTTCTCTGACACCCATTAAATTTGGGATTTCTCTTCACTGCTTTTAACATGCCTTCTAGGGCTACTTTTGACACTGATTATTTTAAGTACTTTAAAAGGGTTGAACCTCTTCAGAAATAATGTTGAAATCTTAACCTCTGGTGTCCCAGCATCTCTAGACCCTTTATATGAAAAATACAGTAATGTAGTAAAGGCCACACGAGGAAAACATCAAAGGAATTATCCAGACAAGACACTTCACTCACATTTGATGCTGCCTAACAAACTCTGCAAACTGACGGTCTTTAGCGTAGAGCTCTATAATTCGAATTCTGTCCTGAATTTCCTAGAATAGAAGAAACACGATTGTAAATACATAATAGAAATTAGAATACTACTGAAATAACTGATTGCTGTTTTTTGGAAAATAAAACTCCAATGCTTTGCTATGTGAAGGAGTAGACCTTGAAATTGGGCAATCCAATACTAAAATTCTTCTTCACACTATTTTTTTTGAAATGAAGCATTTCATTGGAATCCAGTAATACTTTACGTTTAAATCAAAACCAGGGCTTGGACAGAGTGCAGCATTTCAACAGGCTTTAACAAAACCAGTTGTCTCTCATAGGTGCTTTGCCTCCAAGCCTGGCTACAGGCTGGATTCACACCTCTCACAGTTGCTTAAGGATCTGTGATTAGTCCCTGGATGTAAATCCCCTCTCTTTAGCCTTCTAGAGTAAACCCTGGACACTGTGTATAGAGGAAGAAAGCAGAAGGATGTGATCTAATTTGCAGGTTATAGAAAGACCTAAACTTCTTTAAAGAAAAGGGCCTGGATGTGCCAGGTTTTCACTGTATAACTATTCTTACATAAGGCAGTTGGCATTAAAAGCTAAGGGCTGTGTCAAGCAATACAACTGCAAACCTCCCGAACTCCCGTGAAGTTACTTAAGCAGTCAGCTCTTTTATAATGTGAAATTCACTACAGGTCAGAGCACACCCATTCTTTTCTCTATACCTAATAGCAAGCAGGGAAAGAAATCCTTTCTCTCTTCTCTTAAACAGTTGCAGCAGCCATAGTTGCAACTTGTTTATCTAGAGCATAGAGACTGGGGAAAGACTGGGCCCACCTCTCAGGTTACAAGTGCGGAATAAGCTTACTGTGTACATGGTTTTTCCATGCCGCTATGAGAACAAGGCCATTTACCTCCTTAGTAAGCTCACTGTTTTCATAAATGTGCCTGATCTCTTCACTGCTGTAGTCTGTGGATGTCTCTGCACTGGTAGAACTGTAGGACGTTAGCTGAGGGTATCGCCGGTAATAATGGCTGTAGCCAGTCGTATCACTTTCATACATGGGGTTGTATTTAACCGCGTTCTCAATGGATGAGAGGCTGTCACCCTGCCTGGGGGAGCAATAAACAAACTGTGAGATTCTCTGCAGCCTGGAAGGGCAACAGATAGATGAAGGAACCCTGGCGTTTGGAGGCGCCTGTACGTCCTGTTGCTTGTCAACTGTGTGATACAAGATTTACGACAGAATTATCCTTATTGTAGAAGATGTGTTTTAAAATATAAGGTGGTGTCACTTACCCCTGTGAGTCCTCGGTGTCACTCTTTGTGTACTGGTCTCGAAGGGTCCTGGCCAAGAAGAAGATGACAGCAGACGCCACAAGAAGGAATCCTGCCACAGAAGCAATTGCAATACCCACAACCAGTGGCTCAGACACATATTCTTCACAGTGCTCCCCTCTGTACCACCAGTTCTCTCCCACACGACACCTGCAGCAAAGAAAAATGGGGAAATTAAACACCAGCAAATGCTTTGCTTACTGTAAATGGATTTCACTTCCTGTTATGACGTGCCCTCAGTTAAGTCACCTCAATAAATACCTTTGCATGTTCAAGCATCAACTTTCTTTCATTTTTATTATTATTGTGAACAGCCTTTTTGGTATAGAATCACAGAGTAGTTTGGGTTGGAAGGGACCTTTAGAGGTCATCTAGCGAAGCCCCCTGCAGTGAGCAGGGACAGCTTTAACTACATCAGGTTGCTCAGAGCCCCATCCAACCTGACCTTGAATATTGCCAGGGATGGGGCCTCCACTACCTCTCTGGGCAACCTGTGCCAGTGCTTCACCACCCTCATTGTAAAAAATTTCTTCCTTATATCTTGTCTAAATCTACCCTCCTTTAGTTTAAAACCATTACTCCTTGTCCTGTCACAACAGGCCTTGCTAGAAAGATTGTTCCCATCTTCCCTATAGGCCCCCTTTAAGTACTGAAAGGCCACAGTAAGGTCTCCCCACAGCCTTCTCTTCTCCAGGCTGAACAACCCCAATTATCGAATTGAGTGAAGACAGGTGAAATAATAAAAGGATAATGCATTTGTGATGGAAAAAGCCTGTGTTTTTTGCAATTTAGAGTATCCCGTGATGTGTTAAAACTGGAAGGTGTTTAGACTAAGTAAAAAGTTATGCCTTGACTGAGCCTTGCACGTGACATATCAAACACTGTAAAGGTAGAAAGCAGTTGTGTTATTCATATTGTAATGTAAATACAAATGAACATGTGTTAAATGAGCAGAATGTTTATAGTGTAGCAAACTCCACAATGGTTAGTTAAATAAATACATAAAACAAACGACTAGAAGGAGTGTGTGTTCAAGAGTGTATCTTTGGAACGTTTGCCCAAAACAGCATTCATTATTTCTGCCTTGCTGTGGTTTTGAACGTGAGAACTTTAATGTTAATACTGACTTTAAATATACCAGTAAAAATAATATATTTGCATTATTTGTCTTTGGAAGTTCTTGCTATAAAAACTCAAGGAATTGTAACATTATAACCACTCACAACAATGAACCTTATTAATAAGAAACATCAGTAAATTAAGTCTTCTAACATTAATATCTGAAACAGTTTCTGAAAGTAGTAAGCGATACTTTAAATTTTTCAAAAAGTTCTTAATAAATGCTGGCCAGAGCATGCTTGAGTCCAGATACTTACCTGTTTCTAATTAACACTATTATACAAATATGATAAAATTTATAGTACATCTGTGATAATATCCATGTTTGTAGCTTTAAAAAACATTTCTATTTCTCCTGTTAACTGCTAGGACTCTTAAGACTGATTTTAGAGATGTTCTAGGTAAGCTTCTTTAAAAAAAAAAGTCACCTGAAGTAACATAAATAATAACTATTAGTAGTACTATTCTTTTTGCAGTAAGTCTCCTACCTTTTGTTGATAGGTATATTTTGTTTCTAAAAATAGTGTTACGTTGCTTGAAAAGGGAAAAATTAAGGGCAATGTCAGAGGGAGCATCAATTTGTTTATAGCTTGCACTAAGCCTTTTCAATTACCTGTGAAATACAGAGATCTTGTTCAAATGCACCTGTATCTTTTTAAAAGCAAAAATTTGAACCAGGGGGCCTGTGCCTTGATCTTTTTATGAAGCAGACATGATTTTTTTCCCAAATGGCCAATGATTTACTTTTATGACTTTTTCTTAGCCAACAGCACTATTTTTAATATATTTATACTCCATGAATATGCCTTCCAGATACAAATTTTTGTGATGGAATTAATTCTCATATGTTTTATGACATTATCTAACACTTTGCTACTTGAGAAAACCTCTTGAGATAAATTCTGTCCCCAAAGGTCAATGAAGGTGATTTGAACAACTGAGTATGTTCCATTACTGCCATTTTCCCTAGTTAGTTTTATTTCCTTATGTTTCTGTTCTATTAAAGATATTTGTTGCTGTCTCATTTCCAGTATTTATATAGGAAAACTAACGTTTATATTGGGACCTCCATTCAGCAGCATAACATGAATGACAATCATTATTGTCTCACTTGTTACACGTTATCTTACAGAATTTTGCACAAATCTTGTCGAATGCTTCAATAGAGGAGACAATACGGGGTTTTCATACAGGAAACGCATACTTCAGACAGCAGGATGACCTACCTGCAGATGGCCCCTTGCCCAGGGCTTATGTCGCACTTCCCATCATTCAGGCAAAAGTTTGGTTGCAGATCACAAATGCTATTGCACGGCAGCCCGTCGATGCTTAGGTAGCCAGGATTGCAGACACACTCAGCTTCCCCGCTCCAACGATTTACTAAGCATTCGGAGAACTCATTGCAGGCCTGGAACTTGCAGGGATCTGCTTGCTCACCTGAGAATACACAAAGCAGGAAATATTAATGATGGAGGAGAACCTTACCTGAGGCAAAGCGCTGGCTGTCTGCTGCCATTTTCTCTAATGATCCCTTAGTTAAAATAAACCGCAAAAATCCGGCATGCATCTTTCCCGAGTAACAAAAGGTTCTGCTAAGGTCAACAAGCGTGAGGAAGTGTTGTTCATCTCTGTCTGCACAGTGCATGTCAATGGCATGGCTAAGACCACCCAACAAGCCAATTGAAAAAGCAAGTATAAAATGTTCTTTTCCTTACTGGAATGTGCAGTACCTCAGATGTTCTCTGTCTGCTGGAACTATATTTTGCAAATGAGTAAAACACAGCTGATCTCCAATATTTCTTGTAATAGAAAATCTAAGTAGTGTACAGGGAAGGGCAAGGGGACTTCGGGCACTCAGCACCTACTGTGAGGTGATTTCCCTTTGTCTGCAAGGAACGCAAGTTTGTAGCATTTGAGATATCTCACTTGTATCAAGCATAACAGGGCTGGCACACAGTTAAATGATCAATATCTGAAGATCTGTCATGCTAATTAGACCACCTTTATAAGAAAGCTACCTCAGAAGAACAGCTACCATTTGCCAACAGGTCAGCACTGTTATTTTTCCTAACCTTAAACCAGGAAATATTTTTGAGTTGCTTCTATGGTAAACTGCTGGCTAACTTGGACAGGGAAAAAACTTTCTCCCTGTATCAGAGGAGTGAACTAAGAGGGCCTGTAACTTTTTAGTGCAACTAAGACCTCACCACACGAGTTGGGCAGCAGCTGTTACCCATGTGGATGCCTACCTGGCAGCTAAGCTGGCTACCACCTGTGGGCGTGATCACATGCACCACTGATCTCACTGAGAAGCCTTCCCCTTACTCCCCCATGAAAGTGCACTGGCATTATATAGAGTATTCCATGAGGCAATTTTGTCCCCATATTTCTATATGGGCCCTATACAGTTTGCTCAGTCTGAGTCCCACTTTGACTTTCATCTCTTTAGTCCCTTAACAGATTTTTATTTGTTTGTTTGTTTGTACTCTGTGAAAGACTGGCTTTCTAAAGCCCAGGCTGTGAAAAACAGTGGGCAGTCTCTGACCTGCTGGGATCCTTAGCAAGTTCTTAAAGCAGAAGTTGCTCTAAATCCCTTGCTCCACATTGGCTTTCCCTGCCATCCTTACCCGATTCCACATCCAGGGAGTATTTATCAATGGCCAGGTTCATGGTGTGATACGCAGTGTTGCAAAAGTCTTCCAGGATCATGTACACAGCATTGGTGACGTTCCGAGGCACAGGTTTGGCAAATTTCATTCGACTGTTCACCACGATGCTGCCATTTCTGAAGTTCAGGATTTCCAGATTCTGGAAGCCTGTCAGATTTGACTGAAGGTAGGGCACCAGCTGCAACACAGGAGACGTGACAGAAAAGCTGAATCTTTGTATCTGTACTCAAGCCACTTGCACTGTTACTGCCTCAAACAGCGGGAGTCTGAATTATTTTATCTAAATCCCACAGCAAGGGCATTAAAACTTTACCCAATGGAAGCCCATGCTGGCAGCCTGCCAGGAGCCCAAGTAACTTCAGACAGTTCTTAAGCATATACCAATTTGCAGAGAGTTTGCAAAAATCTGCCATTCAGAAATACAGTTCTTGGGACACACATGGTACTCTCCCTTGATCTAAGCACTGGGCATACTCATTGTTTCACAGGGTATTTTCTTCAAGCATGTCTCCCTTCTCTTGCTCTCTCCTTTGCTCCCTTCATCTCCCACAACAAAATGCTCACTTCAGTCAGGAGAGGGGAATTTCCCAGTTAAAATTTAGACAACTGTTGCTGTATAACTCCTGTGAGGCTTTGCTCAGCTCCCTGAACTACCCCTTACTTAGGACGGGTTGAAAGTGTTGCAGAAAAGTTACCTCCCCACAGCCCCTGTTTGTTTACTTCTCTCTCCCTATAGACTAAATACAGAGCACTCTGGAAGCAAGTAAGGGGAGTGTCATAGTGACTTCAGCTACACCACTACACCTATTGACATCAGCAGAGCATCTGGCCGATAGTGCTAAAAAGTTACACTTTAGAGAGACTACTGACTGAAAAAAAAGACAAACAACGCACCCCAACCCCCATTTCCACACAGATTTTTCCCATGGAAGGACACACATAATATCTATAAACACCAGTCTTGCGTTGTTCTCTGCAAAAGAAAGTCAACAAACTATTATTTACCAACAATTTTTGTCTATCTGCTAATGGACATTTAGCACAGAAGTGATTCTTACTAGTTCCAAGAATCGCTGCTCCAGCGCTTTGTATTCAGGGGAATTTTTATTAAACAGGTCCTCTGAAAACATCATGTTGGTAACCCGAAGACTGAAAAATACGACTAGAGCTCGCGACGGGACAGGAGTGCTATTGCGATTTTCATGTGTGGCCCAAGCCACACTGGCCATCTGTGTGGACTGGACATGGGTTGTTAGCTCCACGTGACTTTCAGTCATGCTCCTTCCCTCCTCAGTCAGCTCAGGAGAAAAGCGGACAGTGCTCACACGATCCAGGTCCACTGAAACATCCAGGACTCTCGTCGCTTCATCTCCCAGCTTTGTTGTAGCCACAGATGATGACGCCATGGATCCCGCAGGAGGGAGACGGGACGGAAGCTCAACAGTGCTCGCTGTTACACTCACCATTACGTAAGAGTTCGTAACAGTGCTGAAGCTCATGGAAACACGCGTGTCGTGGTCTGTACCGCCCTGTCCAGTGAAGTCCTCTGGAACAGTGGTCTGATCAGCTACAGAGGGAACTGCAGTTGTAAGTTGAGTGGCAGTCAGCACTGCTGATTGCACTGTCAGATCTAATGCGTTTTCCAGTGCTCTGTCAGTAGGCCAAACATCAGCTGGCTTCTTCACTGCTGATCCAGTAGTGTCTTGGCCTGCCAATGATGAATCTAGGGTTTGCTCCTCTTCTGCGGAAGCATCAGGGTTTGCTGTGTAAGGATCTGCAGTCAGAACAGTTTCTGTAGAGCTTGTGTCCAAGTGGCCTATTGTAGCAGCTTCAGTTACATCTGACTGCCCCACTGTGAATAGTTCTTCTACCATTGTCCTGTCTTCATTTTGGTGTTCAACTGCTTCAGAAATGATGTTCTGACCTACACTGGACTCTTCAGGTTGCTCCATTCTGATGGTCCCTGTAGATGCAAGGAGACTATCTTCCACAGACAGACCTGTATTTTGCGGTGAGACAGGGGACTCTCCAGTTGGTGTGTCTACAAAGGAATGGTCCACTGAAGGCTCCAAAACCAAGGATGGTTTAACAAAAGAAGAATCATACACGCCCGATGTTTCTGTCTGTGTAGATGGTTCCACAGATGATGGCTCATCTGTCTGTAACAGAGGTACCTGCTGAGTTGTAGTCTCTGGAAAGACAAATATTTCAGACTCATCGAGGAAATCTTCTTTTGTCTTGGCCATACCTTCATTCTTATCTTTGGAAGGATCATCATCTAATTTATTCCCAGAGTTAAGAATATAGTCTAAGATCATGCCTTCTGGAATATCCCCAGTTGTGATTAACAAAGACTCATTGTCATCTTCAAGCCAGCTATCAGGACCAGGGTAGAAAACTGGTTCCAGTGTTGCTTCTTCCCAAGGCCAAATATTCGATTCCATTTCTTTTCCTGAACCATCAAAAGCAGAACCAGACCCATCATCATATATAACTCTATCTCCAAGATATATATCAGTTTCATCTTCCATAGGGTGTACTTCTAAGGGAAAATGAGTTTCTTCCACAGACTCATGCAACACCGAGTCTGCATTGTTACTGTCTGCAGGACTACCCTGAGTTACTTCTTCCTTCTCAGCAGATACTGTTTCTTTAAAATCAGTCTCTGTGACTGATGAAGAGGCCACTGTCGGTGCAGAAAGCAGAGGAACTGTATAATCATCCGTAGAGGGAGGTTCTTCAGGCACGAGGTAAGGAGGACGACTTGAAGGCAAAAGAAGGTCTTCAGATAGTCCGCTATCTTCAAACGCTAAAAATAAAAATAAATTTCCAATTAGAATCATTGAATCATTTAGGTTGGAAAAGACAAAAGACGTTTAAGATCATCAAGTCCAACTGTAAACCTAACACTGCCAAATCCACCACTAACCCACGTTCCTAAGCACCACATTTACATGTCTCTTAAATACCTCCAGGGATGACGACTCCACCACCTCTCTGGGCAGCCTCTTCCAATTCTTGACTACCCTTTCCATAAAGAAATTTTTCCTAATTTCCAACCTAAACCTCCCCTGGCACAGCTTAAGCCCATTTCCTCTCGTCCTATCGCTAACTACATGGGAGAAGAGACCAACACCCACCTCACTACAACCTCCCTTCAGGTAGTTGTAGAGAGCGATAAGGTCTCCCCTCAGCCTCCTCTTCTCTAGGCTAAACAATCCCAGTTCCCTCAGCCGCTCCTCATAAGGCCTGTGCTCCAGACCCTTCACCAGCCTTGTTGCCCTTCTTTGGACGCACTCCAGCACCTCAATGTCTTTCTTGTACTGAGGGGCCCAAAACTGGACACAGTATTCCAGGTGCAGCCGCACCAGTGCCGAGTACAGGGGCACAATCATTTCCCTGCTCCTGCTGGCCACACTATTCATGATGCAAGCCAGGATGCTGTTGGCCTTCTTGGCCACCTGGGCACACTGCTGGCTCATATTCAGCCGGCTGTTGACCAACATCCCCAGGTCCTTTTCTGCTGGGCAGCTTCCCAGCCACTCTTCCCCAAGCCTGTAGCATTGCATGGGGTTGTTGTGACCCAAGTGCAGGACCCGGCACTTGGCCTTGTTAAACTCATACAGTTGGCCTCAGCCCATCGGTCAGCCTGTCCAGGTCCCTCTGTAGAGCCTTCCTACCCTCAAGTGGATCAACACTCCAGCCCAACTTGGTGTCGGCTGCAAACTTACTGAGGGTGCACTCAATCCCCTTGTCCAGATCATTGATAAAGAGATTAAACAGAACTGGCCCCAATACTGAGCCCTGGAGAACACCACTTGTGACCGGCCACCAACTGGATTTAACTCCATTCACCACAACTCTTTGGGCTCAGCCAGCCAGCCAGTTTGTTCCCAGCAAAGAGTACGCCCGTCCAAGCCATGAGCATACAGTGTCTCCAGGAGAATGCTGTGGGAGTTGTTTTTGATGACAAAAAGTGTCAAATTCCATTCATTTTATTGTCTGTAGATCTGTGTTCAGCATGTTTCCCCATGATATATCCTGGCCTTTGTATGCCGAAGTCAGAAGGACCCCTGTTGACATCTCCACCTTTCATTTGGATATTCTATGGGCCAAGTCAAGACTGCAGAGCAAGCAATAAAGCAGTAACTGTGTGGCATGTCCTTAGGCTAGTCAGTCTGCTTCAGAGATCAGTTATCTCTGCATGGCATCACCTAAACATGCCTTATATGAAAATACTTCTGTGCAATTAAACAAGTATCATGTGCATACCATTTCCTGAAGGGATAAACAGGCATCATTAGCTGTTACAAACATTTTAACTTAGCATACTGGTCTTGGATACATGCACACAGGAAAGGTAAAAACTATCAGAAAAAGATAACCAATTTTTTAGACCTTTCTGAGAAGTCATTTTAGTGAACTATACCTTTGGTGAGTATCAGGGAGCACCAGCATCCAAATTTAAGCTTCAGTCAATGGCATTGACTTACCATCTAAAGAATTGGGGACTGAAAGCCATTCCAGAAAGTCCACGGAATCATGCCTTAACGCTGGTGTAGTGACCAAATGAGGAGTCAGATTCCCATCCTCTAAATTAAGCCCATCAGGCAAAGAAGTGACGTCAGCCTCTGAGGAGAGCGGAGCTTCAGGTGCCAAACTGGCCTCAAGGTCCAGATTTTCTGGTCTTGGCCGGATTTCGTTGTCATTGGGCTGTTCACTATCTGAAGTGGAATCTGGTTTGGTGAAATCAAAGGGCAAGGTATTGCTGACAGTTGATTCATCTGCTGAAGGCCGTTCAGCTAAAAAGGTGCTGTCCTGGAACATAAACCCACTATTAATATTTCCACTATTACAGGGGAAGCACTGGCTGTCCGCATTGGGCTGAACGCATAAAGGGTGTTAGCAGCAGCCAACAGCAAAAACTGGTACTACTGCCTCTGTGAGAAAGTAATGCACAGCAGGAGGGGCCAGACTGGGAGGACTGGCAAATATATATTCCCTTTGCTAATCATGTGCAATGTACATGTAAAATGCACATCCTTGTGACATACATTTCATGTCCAGTCATGTCCACTAAAAAGGGACAGAAGCCATTCAGATTGTTTGGAGTGCAGCTTCAGTTATGGTATTAAGAGATTTACCATCTATACCCACCCCATCTCCTTTCCTTTTCTTGACTGAAAAAATGGATCTGTCAGTTTCTAATTAAATTGAGGATAAATGTGCACGGTACTGCCTGCCTTCCTAAGGCATGAAGAGGTCTTAGCAGCTATTATTCGCCAGCTACATAATCAACACAGTAATTATAATATTATTAGTTACTGTGATGCATAAAACAGTTTAGAAACTGAACGTGAATGTATTCATTCCCTGTGGTCATTTATTGCTATCTTTCAGTATGTGGGTATGAGAACCCAGGCAGAAAACAAAGACCGTAACGTAAAGAGGAGCATTTAGAGCCTGGAGTAACTTTAGTCTCAAAGCCAAGATGCCTGTGCAGAAAAAAAGCCCTATCAGCAGTAATGATGAACAACAAAGCGTATGCACAATGAATTTGTGAATTGTTTGAAATGCGAAAAAATAATTTGTTTTTAAATCTCCAATTTCCACACCGTTTACTTACTACTCCATACCCCAATCATTATTTGGTTTACAGTTAGAATACTTAGCACATTTCATCTCTGAATATTAATCTACTACCACAGTGTCTCATGAGGGAATTAGACTAGGAAAAATCAATGAAGGCATTAAGTTATTTGATCAAGGCTACAAAAGCAAGCTGACTGCCTAAAACTCAGGAATTAGTGCTTCACATGGATACCTGCCCACATAGCAAAGCTATACAATAGTCTGATACGGACCAAGAACACCCTTGCGGTATGAAAAACTGACAAACAATTTCAAGAAACAGCAATTTACTAAGAACTAACCAATTGCTGACGGTGACTAATAAAGTTAATTGGGCAGTGGACACAGGTTTCTGTAATATGTATTACAGCTCAAAACAAATTACTGATTTACCATTTCTGTAGCTCACCATTCCTGTCTACTCACTTTCTTTTACTTGACCAGCATGAATAACAGGAAGACTCCAAATAAGTTTCAATTTGAAATTTTAGTCCTGGTTGAAATGTGGGTGAATTAAATTTTCAACTTCATTCAAACTGCATTTGAATGCTTTGGAAACAAGCCAGTTAAGGTATTTTTATCTAATTATTTGTCTACCTGTATTGATCATATTTTTATAGCCAGCTGTTATGCCACCACAGTCTCCTCACATATTTTAATTTATATGGTACCAATCAATTGAAAAGTAGGTATACCATATAGACATGTGCTCCAGCAATTATCTTTTTTGGCAAAACTGACCACTATAAATAAAGCTGTAAAAAAAGTTACTGTGCAAGATTAGAAACAAATTACATATATATATTCCATAAAGAATTAACAGGGACTACCAGCAATAGCTTCTCAATACATTTGTTTTTTTATGTGAGCATTTAGTTGCCAGGGATTGCACTTCATCATTTATTTGAATGTGGATAGATGTTCCTATGACAACTAACATTATTCAAAGATTCTTGTTACAGTGCAATATATTATATTAACAAGTTTAATATCATATTGGCAAGTTCTGGTTTTCGCTAATGTCTTTTGAAAGGCTTACAAATATGACAGATGACTGCAAACACGGAACCCCCTCCCTGATTTTCCATTTTCTGCTGCCAGGAAGGCATTGTATTCAGCAAGCCAGAGCAATCTACCTGTTACAACTCAAGAGAAATAACAAGAAAATACAGATTAAAAAAACTAGACTTGATTTTTTCTTCACTTTTTGAGAGCGCTGTAAAACTCAAAGAAAATAATTAATGATTACTTGGTACCATCTGCTAGCAATTAGATGGTGAAGTCATGACAGTTCCACAGCATATCATGAGTATGTATGATAATACAAATCCAACTTATTCTCAAATCAGCTAAGAAAAATAATAGCAAATCTCTTTTTCATAGATAACAGTTCTGCTTAACAGTATCTACTTGAACCATAAAGGTTTGACTTCTGTGGAAATAACTGACTAATCATTTCAGCCTTGTTTACTGCTTAAGCATGTTTATGATTTTCTTAAATTTATCTGAAGTTAATTCCCAAATTATCTGTGTACTGCAGATTGTACACAGCTGTTTTTTGAGTATACTCAATCTCTTTTGCAAAATCAGAGTTTTTGACTGACGACATAGAGGACATCATTATTCATAGTCCATGATTAGAAAAATGTAACTTCCAGAAAATTTTCTTGTACATATTATTTCCTATAAACTGGTTTAAAATTTATTATTGCAAAGCTACCTCTACTCCAAAACCTTCTTGCTTGCATATCTGTCAGAGTATCCACAGACAGAATGCAAAGATGGCAGAATTATTTGTCTTACTAAAATAAACATCTGTAACATTTTGATGTAGTTAGATAGCTCTAGTAAAGAGAAAGGCCTTTCCTGAAAGTTAACTTAAATTCATGTTTATTCACACCATGTTTAAGCCATTTATGGCAAATCCATATGAATTTGCGTTTTAGACATCAATGATTAGTTTTTAAAACTCAGGGAAAACTAGCATGACATTAAGGATATTATACCTGTGACCATTATAACAAGAATTTTTGTTATTGAAACATATAATCTGTGAATTGACTGTGAAGTGACTGCAAATTTTGCTTCCATAAAGATTTTAGAAGATGGCCTGAAATTAAGTGTGTCTGTGTTCACAACATTATCTCAAAATGAACTTAGTGAAAACCTACCATCAAACATAGGTGGAACTGGATTTTGTTGCATGAACTGAGCTCATTTCTTCTTGGAAGGCACATCTGTGTTGCACAACAGAGTGCAGAGCAGAAACGTACTGGGTAAATCCCTAAGCCCAGACAATGCTCCACCATTCAGAAATTCCAGCTGTCGGCAGAACTAATTATCTCCATCTCGGCATCGCTGGCACCTAACTTGGTATCTCTGCTTAAAGCCCCATTGCATTGTACAGACATGGTCAGGGATACTAAGTCTCCTGTCCAACAGGGAACTTCAGTCTCTGTCCTGGCTTGTTCCCGAGGTAATCAGAGGAGATAATTACAATTTCAAGAGAAAAAAAAGAAACAACCACCTATTATTTTTCTGTTTCCTTTGCTGGCATTAAGGGGATGGACATCATTTTAAAACTGAACTGAGAACTTTCAATGAAAGCAATACAATAACAAAAGGAGTGTATGAAACTTACCATTTTATCTCTTCTAGCAGCCAGTTTTAGTGCTTACATCTATTTCTCGCTTTCCAAAGAAAGGTAGTATGTGAAAAGAATCATGTCTTTAGAGCAATTTACAGTCTAAACATTATGAAAAAACAGACAAAGGAAGCCTAAGAAGCAAGACCTGGCTGGACAGCCAGGAACACAGTACTGTCATGTAATATAAGATCATCACAGAAAACTGTTGTGCAACAGATATAAAATTATCAGATGAGAGATTTCACCAGAGTTTTTACTCCAGTATACGGTGTGCTTTCATTACTACTCTGCATGAACAACAGGATAGAGAAGCTCTGGGTGCTGGCTGTAATTACACCTTACTGAGTTAAGTTGTTCAAATGTGTCCAAAGGCTCAGAACCATACTCACATCAAACTCTGGGCGCTCCAGCACAACTGGATTCTCAGTAATCCAGGATGGGTCTTCTGGTGTAGGGTGTAGCATTTCTTTCACTGTGGAAATAGAAAGACTTGGGATCTAAATGCTGCAGTAGCAGTGCGAGGAAGCTGTTTTGGAAGATCAACTGAAAACCCCTCCCTCAGCTCAGATTTGTGAGTAAAATCCTTTCAAAAAGTTTGCCAGAGGGACTGTGTTTCTGGAAATGCCCCCACATCCCTGACAGCAAGTACAGAGGAAAGATGAGAACAGAGGGGTGGACAGCACTCCTCCGCCACCTCTAGCAGGATCGTTGAACATTCAACAATAAACCAGGTATTTCCTTTGTGCTGCTCAAGGCCAACACTGAGCTACTAAGCTGAAGGTCATCTTGGTGCAACATGCATCATGTGAACCACGCTTCCCCTTCTATTCCTGTTAACTGCTGGAAGTATTACTAAAACTGCATACAACAAACCTCGGTGTCAAAGGAGAAAAGAGGCTGATCTAAAGGATTAAGACTCAGATACTACTGCTAATGACTTGACCTAGTTAAGATCAGAGCAAAACAAGCTACAACACAGTTGGTTTTGTTTCTTTTTAATTATTCCGAGGGCAGCTGAATAATTCACTCATCTCTGAGTTTTGTTTTATAAAACTTTAGATGCGTGGTGCACTGATGTGTAATAATTAATACCCACCGTTAGTAAGTTGAAGAGAGTTAGGGTCTAAAGACAACGAAGTGTTTTCAAGCAAGGCATTTTTCTGGAGGATTTCAGCAATATAATCTCGGAAATCACTGATGGTGTACACAACTGTTGGATTATCTTCTATGCCCATAAAGAAGTTGTCCTCCACCTTGTTGGAATGAAGGTTAATCAGGTCCCAGGTGTCATTGCTGATGGCTTTTCCATCAAAGGTAACAGCATAGCGAACTTCCACCCCACTTCAGTTGTACAAAGAGAAAGAGAAGACAGATGAGAGATGCAAGGTTTTCCAACATATAGCAAACACTATGATATTTTTCCCCCCAAGAACCTGTGTCAATACCCTTTTTTAATATAAAAATATATTGCTTTAAAAGATTCTAGATAAAAAACATTTACTTCCTTTCACACTTGTGTCTGCCTGCCTGTGCTTTCCACCACTGCAAAGTTCTCAAGGAAAAGGCTACCAGAACCTGACATGTGGTCTGGTCCCAGCCCTGTATTTCTACTTGTGAATGGTAGACAGACCACAAGCAGACCAAAATGTTGGCTTTCTGCCAGCGTTATTAGTGGGGCCACCAGCACACAGCAGCACGAGTGATGATTTTAAGATCATGCCAATGATGGGAATGGCTCTGAGGTACGAAAACAGCCTGGAAAAAACAGGCTGTATATAGTAGCAATACGCAGTAGCAAAAGGGAGCCCTGATCACTGTCACTGTGCAGTGTCAATCTGCTTGAAATAATGTCTTTAATAGCAATAAAATGCTATTTAATACAGCTTATAATTGGGAACATTTTTCTAGACTTATTTATTTATTCTTTAAAAACTGATTATCTTATTAAACTTATTTATTCTTTAAAAAAAATTTTGCATCTGTGTACAGCTTAGCTTTTTACATATTAACTCTCCTCCATTTTCTTCATTTTCTTTTCCTGAATATGTCTGCATGTCCTTTCCCACATGACAGCGTAGGTAGCAATCAGATTTACCATACACTGGGCATAAGCACAAGGGAGCTTCAGAAAATATAACATATAATATAACATATAGCTGTACACAGGGCACAGGCAAGAAAATTAAGTAATCTATGAAGTGTTAGAAAAATGTGTTCCAAAGACAGGTTTTCCTCACTCCACGCAGCTGGACTGGATTGCTAAAGTAACGGCTCTGTTCAGAGAAGTCTCTAAAGCCACAGCGCCAGATACAACAAAGACATAAAGCAAACACACTGACTAAAACCAGGAGCCTGCTGGAGTTTTGCTGCTGGCTCTATCATTGAAATGAGCCCACCATAGGCTCACCATGGGCACTGACTGTCAGCCAAGGAAATAAAAAAAGACAGCAGTAGTGAAAAGCCACAGCAAAGAAGGAATACAGTATGCTCCTCAAAAGTAACATTTAGATTTAATACAACTGTGCTGTCAGTTGCCATTAATAATTCCTAACTAATGACTACGACACCATCATCTGTCTGGAAAGGGCTAAAACATCTGGTGTTTGGAACATAACCATTGTGAATAGTTGCATGCATCTTAGCCTGCCGAAGTGCAGAGTAGTCGAGGATGGCTTTAAGTCACTATTGTTTCTGAAGAGATTTGTGTTTTCTAACCTTCCTTCTAAAATTAAAATGTTAATTCTCTGTAAAACTATTTGTGGAAACTGGTTACGCCTTTACTGAGAAATACACAGAAGAAAATAATGCAATCTAGTAAGTTAAAGGCTGCGGTTCATTTTCTGTCTTGTGAAATTCTTAAAATACCAAAGGAGGAAAATTTTGGATGCTTAACCTGCATATGTCTAACAAGAAAAAGTCCAGAGTGATCCCATCTTCTGCTAAGAGATGTCTGCAAAACTACTGCTAAGACAGGCAGCACCTCTGGGGCCTTGAAGTAGCTAAGCCAACTGCCTTTGCTGGAGAACTATGGCTTTCTTACCTACTTTAATTTCTATAATAATAATCATCCCCTATCTATTCAAGACTTTGCTGCAAAGTATAAAGACCTTGAGTCATCGTTAAGGAATTTTGTTTTCTTCATAAAAGAGAATCCTCTACACAAGTTAGCCCAGTAGCTTTCCCCAAGACTTTCCCCAAGTAGTTTTTTATGATTAGGACTTAAATAAGCAAATTAGGTTTATCCGTAATCAAAACAGAGCAGTTACTTGCAGTTTCTGGTACAACTCCCTCACATAATACTTATGCTGGATAACTGTCTTGCTCTGGAGCCAAAACTACAAATCCCCAAAAGAGTGTCCTCCAGCTAAATGTGTTTCTCCATCTGTATTATGACAATATATATTAAAAAGTTGTCTTTACCTGTCCTCCTTAGGAGAGCTGAATATAGAAACAAAACAAAACACAATAGCAACACCTGTTAAATCAATGTTATAATTTCCTTTAAGTCTTCCATCTTTTAATAAATTTGCTTTGGTATTCTACAGGGCACACAAATTTGAAAAAGCATAGAGCCAAATGGTTATAAATTGCATAGTTACTCTGCTACATAACGAACCGTTCTGCTTTTACTGAACTGAGATATTTCCTATTGATCACAAGGAATCAGCAGAGCAGAGCCAAATCATCTTGTTCCAAATAATGCAGTTAAATTGCTGTCAGTACCAACAAAATCAAGGCTCACTAATTCTACCTAGAGGGTTAGTTTACAAACACTTTTTTTGTCACGCATAGCAGAGCACAGAGCTCTGGTACTTTGCCAGAAATATCAACCTTTTATTTGTCTTCTCAAATGAATCAAGAGCTTGCAAATGTATTAGACTGCAGATACCGAGACGGAAGGTTTTGCTACCTCCCAGGCTAGAAACAGAATGCAGTCCAGGGTTCCAACCATAAAACCTTTCTCACTATAGCTGCTTTGTTACCTGCATGTATTCTAGCTATAATATTCTAGCCAATAAATTCTAAGAAACACAGCTTACAAAGTCTTAAAGAAAACACAATTTAGATTAACTCATTAACAATTTCACTAGATTCTGAAAGTTATATTCAGTCCATTCAAGAAAAATCATAATTTGTGATCCATGTACCCCAAAACTCAGACATCAGATGTTTGACGCAGGATTCCCTTTTTTGCCAAATTAACTTAAAATATCATTCCAAAGCATGAATTGATTTGAGGAAATTAGTCTTTAAAAAAAAATATTTTTAAGAAGAAAGAGAATTAAAACATTGCATATCATTTATCAAACTATTCACCCACCTTTGCTTTGACCAAAGGGAGAAAGACCTTTACGTATCTCAAACACCAACCTTTTAGAGTCATCCCATATTAACATTAAGAGTTGAAAAAAAATAATTTAAGTACACCACATTTTTTAAAAAGGTTTCTGTGTTCTTCCTTGTTTAATACTAGGACATGTCAACAGTATTGAAGAGGTACCAGATACTAATTTTAAATCAGAAAAGATCTCTTTTAATTTTAGGGTGGAATCTTGAACAAGAATGCCTTGTCTTAAAGTCACGGCAAGCCTATCATGTGAGATCCTCTGGTGGATGCCAGGAGCAAAAAAGACATGATTACATTTACATACAGTTCTGTATTTCTATTTCAACCTCTCTACTAGAGGTACCAACATGAAAGCACTTGTCCTTTGGTTAACACATCCTAGGAACTCCCGCACACATGCCCGACATTCTTCCAAGCGTGGTGCTAGCACATAGCACCATCATACATGATCATTTTCAATCACCACATATGAATCAGTATCTTTTTACCTGTAATCCAGGACATGGATGCTTTTGTATCCAGGTAGTCCTTCAAATACACTTTTGATCTATTTTGAGGGGAAAACAAAAAAATTAACACAGATTTCCTCCACCCTACTCATTTAGTGAAAAATCATGAAGTGTTTTCAACATTTCCTAAAAATGTATCTGAGCTGTTACGTCTCATAGGAGAAAAAGAGTTAAATATTCTCTGTCTTTATGGAAGAAGAGTTTTGGTGACATTGTTTCATTATTAGAAAAGGAAAAGAAAAAGTATGAAGAACAACATCCAGCATTCCCCAAGAACTGCATAGAAATATTCAAAGGGGGGGAAATTCAAACAACCTCTGCAGAGATCTGCACTGCCCATAGCAGCCTACATTCTTTCTCTTATTTATGCAGCACAAGTCCTCCTCTGCCCAGAAGGTTTCCATTACCTCCCAAACTTCTCTGGATTAAAAAGAATTCAGGAAAATGCTTTGGACCTTAGCAACTTAAACAAGAGGAGCAGTGGCCCCCCATAGGAACAGGGACCTCAAGGAGGCACTAATGTATTGCATAGTGCAAAACATGGCTCATCTCTGCTGCCCTAAACATACAAAGGGCTCAGGAGTGACTGGCAGTGCTACTCAAAAAAGACAACTGGGGGCAGCAAAATGGTAGCACATCCAGGCCTAATTCAACACTCAACTGTATTACACAAGACAAAAACAGGAAATAGGATATTGCAGGTTGATGCCGGTTTGGGGTTGGTTTTTCGCCCTCCCAAAAGAGCCGTGCCAATTGAGGATTATTTTTCACTCCTCAAATTCTTCTTCCCCTCCCCAATCTCCCTATTTTTAAACTGTCTCTGGTGAGACTTAAACAATCGAAGTGCTGCCGACTTTCTTTTTTTCAAGAGCTTCTTTATCCAAGCACAGAGAAAACCAGGCAAGGGATCAAAGGGGTGGAACATCCATGTGCCAGGTGGACTCTGTCCCATCTGACTTTTCTTCCACACACACACTATGGCATTGCTACTTGGCCACACAACTAGGAAAATTAAGATGTCTAGCCTACGCTAGCAACTTGTGACAGTTCTGGTGACGCTTTTTGGCTGCAGTGAAGAGTAGATCTCTTTCCCATCTGGCCCAGGATCTGGCACAGGGTTAGCCCCAGTAAAAGGGATTCAACAGAGAACCCCAACTAAATGGGACTAAGAAGGAAGCAAAGGTAGAGAAGAGATAAGCCGCATGGTGTGCTGCTGTATGGCATCCTAGATGCCTCTCCCAAGAGAAAGACAAACTCTCTGTCCCAAGAAAATGGTGGTAATAAAATTGCCATCATTATAAACAAAATAAAAAAAAAATGGAAACAATAGGGAGGGGAAAGTTAGGAGACAGCAGTATGATCGTATGTTAAATATGCATTTATATATTGATGGGCCAGTAACTTTGTAGCATACAAATTAAAACGTTAAATTTTAATTAAAATTAAATTAACTTGAAATCATGTCTTAATAAATCACGCATCTGTGTGTATATGTACATATTTATGTGTATATGCACATACATATTTTTTCTTTGAAGTAGGTGCCTAACAGTCTAAACCATGGTTCATTTCCACTGACTCCAATGGGCTTTAAGCATGCGTTTACAAACTCTTCTGTGGCTGGAGGGTTTTAAAATGTGCTCACATGCACTGCCGATCCTGGGCATAAATGAGGAGCAAGAGTAGTCTTGGCAGCCTAGATTTCAAGGAGTATCTCACTGCAGTGCATCACAATTCATTCAAAATGCCACTCCTGAGCAGAAATGATGAATGAGTTCTGCTGCTTGCGACTTCTTCCGATTTCCCCACCTGTCACCTGCTCTGTATAGACAGATTCTCTAGACTGATGCCAGAGTTTCTCTACAGTCCAAAATCTGGACACCGTGTAATCATTAAGATAACCTAAATCCCATTTCAGTCCTCAGCTTCTGTAGGAGACCCAGAGCATGCCCAGATAGGCAGATCTGATGGACTTGTACGCCTTCTGCCTGCACTCCACATTAATGCTGTGCTATATCTCAATTACTCGAGCTGCCTTCCAGCACTGCCTCAGCACAGGTTGATGGCTCTGAACTGCAGCTGATTCATGTCCTGACATTTGAGAGTGTAGGCAGGCTGGTTTGCTAGAATCTTTTTCACTCCCCAGTTTCAAACTACATTACGGAACAATTCAAACTGGACAATGAGATTAGAAAGAGCTGAAATAAACTCTACGCAGACTGGTCACTAGAGAGATGTTAAATGTATCTTTAAAATTTAAGATTTTCAAGTCCTAAAACTTCAAGAACTAATGAAGTTGCATCAAGAGGCAAACAAGAATCTTATCACTTCTGTGAGCTTAAAAGCTCTACTGCAGTAACACTGACAGGGAGAGGTACTGAAAAATTCTGAAAGGATGGTAAGGCCAAAGTTAGCCCTGGTAGAAATAGGTCTTTAAAAGGACTAAAATAAGTGTAAATGTTTTTCATTTATTAATAACATCTGGCTTAGTTTCTTTGGCTAACATGAGGCAAAACAAATTAATGAAACCAGGAAGGGGGGGTGGGGGGCAGAGAGAGAGAGAGAGCAGTCCCTCAGAAAGGTCCCGGTTACAGTATGTCCCTGTTCAGGGGTTCTGCATAATTTTCTGATACTCCCAAAAGCATACTTCTACCTCTCTTGCCTGCAAAATCGATAGCAGGCTATTTCATGAGAAACACAAGAAGAAAACTAGAGTAATCAGTCTTTGGCAACTGATATGCTACACACAACGTATGGCGCACCCCTACTTCAAAGGGGCAGCATGTCAGACAAAACACAGTATTCTCATATTGGGTGAATATTTTCCAGCCTGCCTGAGGCAACAAAAGCCTAAGCTGGTTCTGCAGAGCCCATGAGAAAAAGGCAGTCCTAACACACGTGCTACATGCTACTATTGCTTTGCAAAGCCAGCGAAAAGAAAAAGGAAGTGAGGGAAGGTAATCACCTGAGAAATGAATTGTTCAGAGAGCAGTTGACGCTTCACAGCAGCTGGGTCATTCAGCTCCTCACTGTACTTTTCACCAACAATCAAAATGCTGAATTCAATCATCTGCTCAGTTACAGGTCTCACTAGCTTTTCATCCTGCTTCTTTATCTCATTATTGATCTGGAAGGGAAGGAAGAAGGGAGAAAACAAGAGGTGATTTAATGCCTTTTTTTGTTGTTGTTTTGCCCTTTGTTTTTTTCCCAAGAAATAAATCCTCGTTACTCACCATAGACCAGATTCCTACCTATCTTGGATTTACTCCATGTAAAAATCATCCCCAGATATATATATATATATGTACATATGGTCTGCCATCTGTCAACGGCACACTACACTCCTAAGCTTAGGTCCAAACATCCTTCTTATGTGGGCCAGGAACTTCTCCAGCCGCTGCAGGCCTGGAGGTTTCTCTGGCTCGTGATGGAGCAGAAAACCTGAGCCCTCTCCATAAGTGCTGTGGGGACAGGAACAACTTCAGGACACCACGGGTGGGCCACACTGATGGTCACGGACAGACTTAATGATATGTGCAAACTGCAGTCCAAAGCACAGCATGCTCACTTGATCCATCAGCATGCCTCTTTGCCTTGCACTATAACGGCATGCTCATGAAGCCTCAGGGACAGAGGCGGCAACAAACAAGGCAGTCTACTAAGCAAGACATTTTTTTTAAGAATTCTTGTATGGCAGGTAATTCTATTTTCCATTTGCACATCTTTACTGTAGTGCAAGTCTATCTAGTTGACCTCAGCTACAAACAGAAACCTAGCTGTGTGGGATGTTCATGAGGCAATTTAAAGTGCAACTATGGATACATCAACAGCTCACATGAGCCCAGTCAGCAATAGGCTGATTTACCCCAAATTTACCCATTTATCACAAGGCTCCTACTTAGTATTCCACCTGGAAGACGAGTTACCTTTGCCAAGTTCTAAATTCAGAACAACACCCTGTGTGTTGTTCAGCCTCAGTAAGTGAAGGATGCCCCCCAATATACAATGGGCATTGGGAGATCTGTGGGGGCCTGGGCCAAGCTAAAGTGGTGGGTTTCAACCGATAGGTCTGCAGTTGCCCAAGGAACCCTGCAGCAGTGTAGCTATCATGGCTGCAACAGGCAGCAGTGAATTCCAAATTTTAATCTAATTTGACTGACTGAGCAACACAGGAAGAACACTTTCTGCTTCGTTCCTTCGTATTTCACAACCAGTATACTGTTCCTTGTGGTATACTGAAAGACATGAGAAAAACCAGATCTTGTTTCATGGTTTCGTTCTAAAAAAAACCATGGGATTTGTGGGGGAGAGGAGGGAAGGCTGGCTTAAGTTAACTTTAGCCAAATAGCCAAATGTTTTTGGCCATTTACATGCAGTTGTTTTTTCCCCGTTAAAAAGGAAAAAAGAGCGCCAACAAAACAGACCTTTCCAGCAAAACTGCAGCCTGTGTTATGTATGGTGCAAGAAATGGAAAAGCTTTTCTCCAGAAAGCTTAGCTGCCACCAGTGAGCAACTCTTACATTGTTTAGGGACCCTGTAAAAATTTTTAGTTAAATTCTCTGCCTCTCTCCATCCCTTTTTGACTGGATAACTTTGTTAAGGACCAGAATGACTGGTACACTACACAAAGCTAGCTAGCATTTGAGAGATACATACTTAGCAGGCATATATGTGCTGCTACTATATGGCTGTTTGCAACTCCATGTAGTTTCAATCATTTATCAGTCCCCCAAAACCAAAAGTACAGTCAACATACGAATGCAGAAGATGAGCTTTGCTCGCTCTTGGTCTTGTAATCTGCAATGCATTTTGGCTGCACAAAGCAATGATGAGGTGTGATGTAACTGTATAGAGTGAAAACACTGTAGCAGCAACAATCTAATTCTGGTTTCTTTCTGATTTACTGAGTGGTCCTATTCTCTGCTCAGGCAGAAATACTTCAGGCAGTTCTGTTTCAAAAAAGAATAATGGTGTACATGGGACCAAACCACAAGTGTTCTTGGTATATAATATAAAGTCAGACCCTGGACTTGAGTCAGAAGCTGTCTGCCTGTTTCATATTCAGTATTTATTCTTGGAAGCGCAATACCAGAGCTCCAGTCAGCCCTGAAAGCTCTAGAAGAAAGTACAGTTTGGACCAGCTTTGTTTCATGGCCATACTAGGTTACAGAACAGAACAGTGCACAGTTAAACCCAGTACCATAAATCAGCTTCTACTTATATGCAGCGCGTGCAACTTTGCAAGCTTCTCAGTAAATCCAGTGAGAGTTTCACATGTATAAGAAAATGAAAGCCAGCTGATTCATACCACTGGTTTGCAAAATTTTCTTCAGTCATGTAGGCCAATGAATACTGCAGTTGGAATCTAAAGTTTGGGCTTAAATTTTAATCCAGAGGAGCTGCTTCCTGGGAGCAAATCCTTCCCTGGGACCTATGTGGTGGTCAGTACTTCTGAAAGCCGGCTCACTTTTACAGTTTTAAGTACTTGATGGAGACTTCTCTGAGTCAGGAGTTTTGTTTTGATATCAAGGTAAGGCTGACAGTAAGATGATAAATATAAGTTCATCTATGTCAGCAGAGGAAAAGGAGCAGAGAATCAGAAGGAATCTTCAAGGCTATCCAGGTCACCTCTCTGCTGCCCTTGCCAATTACCACATGGACCCTTGAAACATTACTAGAGCAATTTAAGGTGTATTGTGTTTCCATAGGAATAATAATGCTCCACATTCTTGGAGCTTTCAAGAGCCCTAGGCATTCCCTGTCTAGTCCTGTGTCACTAGCAAAATCCTCACCTGACAGCTCAATGGATCCATTCTCTCTCACTGTGGGGGAAGCGGCATTGCAAAGCCTCTGCAAATGAAAAAATACCTACCTAGGAAATTATTTTAAAACTTTCTAAAGTTCATGCCCTGTTTTTATGAAATCTTAATTTGTGTTAACACACTATGATAACAACACCTTTAAGTACTATGAAATGCAAATGACCACAAACAATATTATTTAGGAAAGGCAACAGAATGCTGAACTAAATGAAAAAACCCACTCACAGTAGTGTCTGCATCTTTGATCTCGTGGATGGTACCACCCGCAGGACTCTCAATGGAGATCTCATGAGGGGGAGGAACATTGGCAGCTGCATCTGAGTTTGAAAGAGAGCAGTATTATTTTGCTTGGGTGTTTTTTTACACCCATGTACATGTAGATACACACAGGAGCAGTTCAGCAAGCATAAGCCAAGAGTAAAATTTGATTCCTGTTCCCATCATCATGACAGAAACAACACAGGAAACACCTGAAGAGCCTGAGGAAAAGTATCAAATACGCTAATCAGAACAAAATGCCAATGTTCTGTCTAAGCAGATGTATTTTGGGGAACATTTAGTTAAGTGCAGTAAAAGGTGCACAGAACTAATATACCGAGTAGGATTTTTGTGATTCATATAACAACAAAATAATGCCAGCATATAACATGATCTCCAGATCACAAACAGCATGATTTGGAGATGGAAAAATTCACACCTCTTTTTGAAATCCAAACACCATTGAATTTCTCAGTTTTCTAGTAATTCAGAATCAGCCTTGACAAGAATTAGATGAAAACTGACCTCTCAATGTGGTAACATCAGCATCCGAAGCTGGAGTTGGAGTCCCACTACTGCTAAATAAAAGCAAGATCAGAAATTGAAGTTGGACATGGTGAGATCGACTTACTAGTTTTTGATTTATCTGTGATTCTGCTGCAGCAAAAAACATGTTTGCAGAAGAGATTTGTCACGGTACTACTTTGCTGATAACATTGTAAAAATTAGGCTTTGCAATATTTCAGTTATCTTTTGCAACTTAGATATGGGTTCACTTGCATCACACAACACATCATGTACCTCTCTGGGCTGCTAACATCGTTATATTCCACCTGACTTGGAGCCCCCCTGAAAAATTTATTTTGCCTTCTAGTGGTTCTGTAAAGGAAGCAAATGCAAAGACCCGAGGTAAAACACAAAGATAACCTGTAATATTCTATAAAACACTCCGTTTTTAAAATACTCGCCAGTACACTAAACATCATAACTGTACTGAAATCACTGCAAGAAGATGGGTTCTTCTCATCATGACTTTTACCCTGCTTATTTGGAAATTTCAAAAGGCGTCAGTTTCCAAATCCAATTATTGCATTTATACACACACAAAATAACTCTAGGCAGGATATGAAAAAGAAAAACATTTCAGATAAAAATCAGATGAAGACTGTCACCCTGAAGAAAAACTACATGGCTCTTACAGTAAACCCAAGCTCCTTGGGGCCATTTCTGTAAGCCCTGAGCCACTGTCAAGTTACCAAGAGTGGGAGACACGCTCTGACAGAAACAAGTCTTTCCTGAATGAAGAAAAAATTATTTTTCAGGTTTGTCATATTTTTAATATATACAGCCTAATCTGTAAGATTGGAAGTTTGAGTGCTGGAAAGAAACTGAACTTCAGAAAATTATTGAAGTTCATTGCATTGAGATATTTCTCTCACTTCTAAAGGAACTACTTTTTTACTGGTGGTCATACGTGTGCCATAAAATAAGCAGTGCAGGAAGGAGTCTTCACTGTAATATATGCAAGTGCTGATACTATGTGAGCCACGCTTCCTAGCCTTGCCAGGTCTGATTTTTGATTAACATACTAGATTACTGGTCTTGCAGTCTGTCCTCAATCAAAACTCCAGTCAAAGTTGATGGATATTTTGCCTCCTTCAGGACATATAATCAGTGTCTGTATCACTCCAGAAATCAATCAAAGGCTTCCAGCACCAGCCAGACAACCAGACCCAAAGTTACATACTAAAGACACCGGGGCACAAGCATATGATCAAACACATGATAGTTTCACCGAGTTAACATCTCAAACTCTGTTTCTCCCCCTGCCTCTCACAGACACGTAACACTTGCCAATAAACAGACCTGAAGACAACTCTGATTAATTTTCTATCTAAGCCAAGAATCTTCTCCCCACCCTTTCTCAGGAGGCACAGGCTAAAGCTAGTTCTGCGCATAATGATTAAAGTATAGTAAGTTCAGGGAATGTTAAACTGACAGGGTGAGATCTACATAACAATTACAAAATTTTAACGAAAAATAAAATAATCTCCAGATGAACAAAGCAGAAAATACTTGCTCAAGAGTTTAAAGACAACTTTGACGTATTTTCCTGAACAACTAAAGCCGATGAGCTATATGCAAGCTTTGAAATATACAGTTATTTGTGTCTGCTTCCATCTCGTGGACACTGCTACCTGTTTTCAGCCAACACAGAGCAAGGTAACGTTCTAACAATTCTTTGAAAACCTCAGTAAATCTTGGAATGATTTCCAAGACTGGAAAGCCAAATTTTACTACCAAGTATAATTTAGACAAGATATCCTCTCTTATCCTCTCTGCCATTGCCATCACACATATAAAGAGTCACAAGTAACTCGTTCAAAAAACATCAACTTCTTTCTGCTAAACGCCCCCTCCAGCCCCAAATCCCACATAAAAAGGATTGAGATTTTCTTAAGAATGCTGGTTATATTTTGGAGGGATTTAGTTTCCTTACTTGTTTATCATCTTAGAACTGAAATAAAAACTATTGCTAAATTATTAATTGGTCAGATGAAATATTTTCCAATTAAATTCACCTAACTCCAAGGATGCATTACTCTTACCAATTTCAATAGGCATTAGATTACATCTGTACCAGAGTCTCACCAGTAAATAAAGCATTTTAGTGCATCATATTCATAGAATCATAGAATGCTTTGGGTTGGAAGGGA